AATATGAAGTTCAAAAATTATGAATATACAGCTTTATAATTATGAACATAGAACGATGTCCACCTTGCAAGGTAGACACGGTTCCATAGCATAACGATTGTTAGAGGTGGCCACGAGCCGGTTTAGGACAGAGCCACCCCTAAATCGGCCCGAAAAAGCTAAGCATGGGCTTTATCGAGCTTAGGTCGGGCCTAGCCTGGACCGGGTAGTAAAGGGCCGGCTCAGGTCCTATTAAAAAAAGCACGAGGCCTAGCTCGAAACTGGCCCAAGATCGAGTCCAAGCACGGCCCAGGCCCGTAACTGGCCTAGACACGGACCCGAACTTTAGCACGGATGTATTTGAATTAATAAATAAAGTGTTTTTAAATTTTTTTAGATAATACTTCTTTCAATACTAGATCTATAGATAATTTACTTGAAATCTTACATTTACTTGTTAATGGTCAATTATTGCATTCATGTTCTAAATTTATGTGTTCCATAATTTATGTTTTCCATAAGGACTTCAAATCGATCAAAGAGGTTTGAGTGATTTTGTTGAACCAATTAAAAAATGTACTAAATGATTCAAATACAATAGAAAAAAAATTGATTTTAAAATATTGTGATGTACATGATTTAAAGAAAAAACACATTATAGTTTATATATACACATACTTAGTGAAATTTTGTATGTAAATTGTTAAGTGAAATTGCTCTATAGCATGGGGTAATAAATACTGTGTATAATAGTAATCAAACTAGTGACGCTAACATAATTTCAACCATGTGAGGTTTGAATCCTATAATTAATGATGATTATACGTATGAATCTTAAATAAATAAAAATAAATAAATAAAAATAAATAAATAAATAACTAAATAAATAAATAAATAAATAAACACACACACACACACACACACACATACACACACACACACACACACACACACACACACACACACACACATATATATATATATATATATATATATATATATATATATATATATATATATATATATATATATATATATATATAGTTATATATAGGCGAGTTCAGGTGCGGCAGTATCTTACGGTGCGGCAACACCAATAGTTCAACAAATATGCACCATCAACGTTAGGAAAATACACCACACAAAACAGAGTAAACAGAGCCCTGCATCACCAAACACACACCATTAGGTGTGAGTAAAAATATCATACACTGTTCGGAAATACACCATTGGGGGTGGTGAGTTATATGGTGTATTTTTTTTGAGTCTGTTGTGTATTTTGTGATGTTTTATTGCATTTTATTGTGGTGTGTTTTTATTACACTGTTGGTGCATATTGTTAACACTGTTGGTGTATTCTGGAATTCCGTCGCACCGCCGCACGGGAAGACCCCGCCGCATATGTGCGCTCTTCTCTCTCTCTCTCTCTCTCTCTCTCTCTCTCTCTCTATATATATATATATATATATATATATATATATATATATATATATATATATAGGGATACACGCATGTGCCCAAGAGGAAATATACGAACGAATACGCGCGCGACACGGTCAGATTTAATAGATTAAAAAATGGGATGACATTTTCGTAAATAATTGAACATCGAAGTGAAAGTAAAATCACTTACGAGTGCACCTACTTTCACCTATAAGTGCATGTAATTTTGCCTTGTTAACATTCACTTCCCGCAAACATTGATGCACATGGGTGCACCTACTTATAACTATAGGTGCACCTACTTATAACTATAGGTGCACCTACTTATAACTACAGGTGCAACTACTTATAACTATAAGTGCATGTAATTTTTATTTGTTAACATTCACTTCCCGCAAACATTCATGCCCCTACTTATAACTATAGGTGCACTTTGTATTGAAGCTCAGTGTAAATTTTACTTGCACCAAAAATACATTTTACATGCATTTGTAATACATTTTACTTGAACTTTGATGTTCAATTATTTACTAAAATGTCACCGTGTTTTTTTTTTAATCCTTTCCATCCTGAGCGCTTCATTCGCACCTGAGTGCAATTATATATATATATATATATATATATATATATATATATATATATATATATATATATATATTAGCATTATTGAATCAAAAAGTTGAAATGCCCTCAATTAGATATAACTTTAATTTTTAACGATGACATTAGTGGGTTAAATCTTATTTTTTTCTAAAAGTGTAATTATTTTATATAATAATAATAATAATAATAATAACAATAATAATAATAATAATAATAATAATAATAAAAACTCCGGGGCTAGCCCAGGATCGGCCCACAAGAGGCACGGGCCCAGGCCCGGTGTAAGCCCGGCACGCGACCGACTCAGGTAATTCAGGGCCGGTCCTAGTTCGTACTAGTAACAGTAGTAGTTAATTTTGAGGATCTACTTGGTACACGGAGTGGTCTTCACAAAAGCTTGTAGGAGGAATTAATGAGGCGGAGCAATTAACTGCTTTGTCAACAAAGATGGATAATGTGGTTTCCATGGTTCAAAAGCTTGCCCAAATTACCGTCCAAAAACACAATGTGAGTCATGTTTCTACCCCTCCTACTCTATGTCAAGTTTTGATGTGTGATCTTTGTAGTGGTGGACACAATTCGGGGGAATGTCAACGATTTAAATTCCCAAACCCCTATGGAGCAAATTAATATGGTGGGATATAATAGGCCTCATCAACAGTCTTTCTAACCTCTAGGGACCTACAATCCTAATAATTCAATGAATCACCCAGGTTTCTCATGGAGTAACCCAATGGGGGCTGCCAATCCACAACACTTTGTTAATAGAGGTCCAAACACGAGCCAATCTCCATCTTCTTCGGTTTGGATTATGCTTGTAACAACCCAAAATTTTATTTTATAAATCCAATTTTAAGAAATTCCAAAATAGCCATTTTTACTCCATTAAATTTGTTTGCGACCAATTGGTGTTTGAATAAATTATTTTTGTCACATTTCAAGTTAATTCGACACCAAAATTCATTTTATTCGAAATTCCTAAATGTTCGAGTACTTCGCGTAGCAAGTTTTAAATCGAGAAATCAATCTAAGTGAAACCGGGAGAATTCAAAAAGATTTTAAACCAGTGTTCCTCTAAATAGCTTTTTGAGAAAATTCATTTTCAACTCCAAAGTATTTAAAATAGGATTTTTAACCCTTGGTCCATGGAGCATGGTGGACCACTAGACATCTAAAATCTTTGCCTGATTCAATTTCTAGCCATAGGAAATTACATCTTTGCCATCCACCAATCATGAGAGAATTTCATAGGGTTTTGCACCCTTTATAAGCTTCATTATCTCATTTGCACATTCCTGATTCTCTTTTCTTTGCTTCTTAACCAAGTCTGAGCTTTCATTTACAAGAAGAGGCCAAATAACAGTAAGATCCTAAGCTTTCATCTCACCCCTTCATCTCTTTTCCTTAAGGTTTCCATCCCTGTTGCCTTCTATCTCTGAGTTTCTATCTTAAGCTTGGTTTGTATTGTTGGTTGGGGATGTGTAGGGGGTGAAGGAGTTTGTAGCTAGCTAAGGAAGAGGTGGATTCCCAGCTAGAAGAAGAAGAAGAAGAAGACTACAAGAGGTATAACCCCATGGATTCCTTTTTGAAAGTTGGCTCTGTGAAGCCTTTATATTGAGTAAAAATGAGTAGAAACTATGAGATTTTGTTGTGTTTATGCTTAGAAGTGAGCTAGTATTTGTTTGTGAGTTGTTGAGATTGTTTTGGACTTGTTTGGATTGGATTTTGCAGATGAAAAACCTTCTGGTGCACAACACAGTGTGCACCAGATCAGATTAACGGCCCTAGCCGCGGCCCATCAGGAGGGCCACTGGCTAGAGCCGTGCTTGCACGGGACTAGGGCACGGCCCTAGAGGAGGGCCGCCGCCTAGTCCCGGTGAAGTAACGGGGTACAAGGGGCGGATCATGTGGAGTCCCGCCCCAGGTCCCTGACTTTGATGTTGAGAAGAATCTGTGCAGTGGCCGGGTCCTTGTGGCTCAACTACGTGTCGTTTCGGGCCGAGTGTTACGGGCCCTTGTGGCTCGGCTCTTTGGGACTGTCTCGACGCACGTTTTGGCTTTGATTTCGTTGAATTTGGATTAAAAACGAGTATGTTATGAAGGAATTTGTGAAAAATTGCTACACAGAGTATATATTTGCTAAGTTACTGTGTATGAAGAATTATTTGACTATGTGATCTGATGATGTTTTTATTGAGTAAAGAAGCATGATCATTTGAGAATATGATTTATTATGAAAGCATGACTAGATTGAGATATTTGATCAATGAGTAATGAAGCTTATTTTGTTGATAGAATATATAGAATTTGCTATGTTGCAAACCGAGTATGACATTATAGTCTTAAGTGTTTCATGTTATTTTATACACTAGTAGTTGCACTTGTGCGATGCACGACTATATATATTATTTATATTATATTCAGTATAATATAATAAGATGAAAAAATATACATTTTAAAAACTTAATAAAATTGAAATGATGAATTTATAAATTTTATTAGACATTGTTGAAGACTCTCTTTGTTGAACCCATGCGATGCACGACTACCTATATAGTACATAGAATATTCCGTATAATATAATAAGAAGAATAAATATACCATTTAAAAGCTTACTAAATTTGAAATAATAAATTGTGGAATGTTATTACACATTGTTTAAGACTTCGTTGTACATAATATTTTTAGTTGTACTAAGATATGATACATTTTCTCCACAAATCAAAATTTTCAAACCCATTGGGTTACTAACTCTTGAAACAGCTACGTACAATTGTCCATGGATAAAGACAGGTCTTGTCAACAGCAATCCCACTTTAGAAAGTGTTTGTCCTTGACTTCTGTTGATTGTCATAGCATAGGATAGCATCAACGAGAATTGCTTCCGTTGAAATTTGAAAGACAATCTTGGATCTGACGGTGTAAGTGACATTCTAGGAATTTTTTTTTTTTTTGAAACGAAAGGAACAATCTCATTACTCAATCAAAAAACTGGAAATACAAACTGGAGGTACAATCGACCACACACTCGAGTCAGTCGAGGAATCAGTCGCTTGTGCAAGAGCATGGGCTACATGATTCGCTGATCTCTTGACATGGTGAACCACAACGTTCCCAATGTCATTAGCAATCTCAACACATTGCTTTACAATATAATCAACATATGAAAAATCCACAGGACTAGAATTAAAAGCATTACTAAACAATAAACAATCAGTTTCAATTATTAAACTACTATACCCAAGACCGCGAAGCCAAGACAAAGCTTCCTTCACTGTGCCGGCTTCAGCCATCAGGGGGTCCCGAATGCAGTCCAAACGTCCATTTTTTGCAGCCACGAAACCACCTCCGTGATCCCGAAGAACCGCCCCAAAGCCCACAAAATTAGTTAGCAATGCTGCATCGACGTTACACTTAAACCAGTGCCGTGGTGGTGGTTCCCAACGAACCTGTACATCTACTCGTTGCACGGTGGAAATTGATGGTTTGTAGGTATCCTTCCAAATCGAAAGCAACCAGAGTACATGATTCTGTATCGCTCCAAGCTCCCACTGTTTATTCCCCCACACTCGATCATTCCTGACCGTCCACAACACTCACATTACCGCAGCCATATGGACCGCTGTGTCCCGATCCGCGTTTGCGAGAGTGGTATCAAGAAAGTCGCGAATAGCAGCCCCTTGCAGCAAGTCGTCCTTCCCCCATACCTGCCTCGCAATCCAGCACTCACCTAGTAGGTGTTCGGCTGTCTTCGAGTAGAGACCACAGAGTGGACATCCACCCCCAATCCATACGCCTTTAGCCTTGAGATTCTCTCGCACCGGAAGAATATCACGAGCACATCGCCAAATTAGATTACGCACTTTAGGCGGAATCGGCAGGCTCCATATCTTGTTCCAAATCACGGACTCTCCAGGTATTTGCAATGCTCCACCGGACGTTAACATCCTATACCCGTGCTTAACCGAATACGCCCCATGAATATCACCCACCCAACGCCAAGAACCCGGAAGATGAGGAGCGATGGGGGTAGCAATAATCTTGCGCACATCGTCTTCGACAAACAGCTCATTAAGGATATCCACGTCCCAATGTCCATGCGCGTTCATAAGGCCATTGACACTGGCCTCCCGTAGAGCATCCACAGGCGGGGTATGAAGCGTGGCGTCGGACGGATCTGCTAACCAATGCGTCGTGCCAAACCTTCGCGCAACACTGTCTGGCCTGCCATAATGCTACGCCACATGTAGCTCGGGTTGTTGCCAATACTTGCTTCCATAAAGCCGCACTTAGGGAAGTATTTTGCTTTCAGTAGTTGGCTGATCAGTGAATTCGGGGTAGTGAGGAGGCGCCACCCTTGTTTAGCTAATAAAACAATATTGAATTCATGTAACCGTCGAAATCCCAATCCTCCCTGACATTTTGGCACACTTAGTCGTGACCAGCTCATCCAGTGCACTCCTCTACCGTTTAACGTACCTCCACCCCACCAGTACCGGTTAAACAGTTTTTCAATCTTATCACATAACCGACCTGGAATAAAAAAGACCGACATAGTAAAGATAGGGAGAGCTTGTGCCACACTCTTGAGCATAACTTCTTTACCTGCTTTAGACAGCAGACGATGTTGCCATGATCCAAGCCGTTCCCTGACTTTGTCCTCTATGTAGCGAAAGGTTGCCGTTTTGTTGCGGCCCAGAACCGACGGTAATCCTAGATATTTGCCAAAATCCACCGTTTCCCGAACGCCCAGGCACTCAGAGACCACAATTCGCACCTCAGTCCCAGTGTTAGAACTGAAAATGATGCTGGATTTATCATAATTCACCAATTGCCCCGAAGCAACACTGTACCTGTCCAGGCACTTCTTAACGGATTGAGCTTCCCCATTAGTAGCCCTAAAAAATAGAAGACTATCGTCCGCAAAAAATAAATGCGTCACGGCCGGGGCCCCCCACGCAATACGGATCCCATGAATATCACCACACCCCTCGGCCTGCTGTAAAAGAACCGACAGGCCCTCGGAGCAGATTATGAAAAGATACGGGGAAAGCGGGTCCCCTTGGCGAATGCCTCGGGTTGGATACACTGATCCCACCCCGACCCCATTAACTTGAATAGAGTACCTGACCGTGGTGACACAGTAGAGCAACATCTTGGTCCATTTCTGGTTAAATCAGAGCGCAATTAGCATTCCCTTCAAATAGTTCCATTCCATACGGTTGTATGCTTTGGCCATATCAACCTTCAGGGCCGCCCATCCCAAGGTCCCTTTCATTTTTCGTCGTAAAAAATGGCCCACCTCCCCAGCAACAATAATATTATCTGTGAGTAACCTGTTGGGCACAAATGCACTTTGTGATTGAGATACCACCGTAAACAGCACACCTTTAAGTCGATTTGCCAAAACTATCGCAATGACTTTATATGCCACATTGCACAGTGAAATTAGCCTTAGGTCAGTGACCTTTTCCGGGACTTTTTTTTTTTCAGTATCAAAACCACGTTAGATTCGTTAAGCCCCGCAGGGAAAGAACCTGACTCGATACAATTTAATACGAACATGGAGAGATCGTGGCCCAACACTGGCCAGAAATGTTGGAAAAACGCAGCTGTCATTCCATCTGGACCCGGGGCTTTCTCCGGGGCCATAGAAAAAAGAGCAGCCTTGACATCAGCCACTGTGAAAGGCTGCTGTAAGGTCGCGTTCATATCCTCGGAGATCCTAGGATGAACCCGTTCCAACATGCGAGTCTGGGTGGGTTCGGATTGAAAAATAAAATTATAATACCTGAGGATCTCAGAATTCAAATTCGCGCCTTCCTGCCACATTCCTTGCGCATCCTTCAATTTTGATAAATGATTGCGCCGTTTTCTGAAAGAGGCCATTTGATGAAAGAATTTGGTATTCGAGTCCCAATGCTTAAGCCACAGCTGTTTGGAACGTTGTTTCCAAAACAACTCATCCTAATCCAAAAGTGAATTTAGTTCCCGTTCGGCCTCCAAGTAGTTCTGAACATCCGATTGCGCCCTGCTTTCACGCAACCGTTCCAGTATCCGGCGAAGCACCGTAATGCGCCTCCCGAATTTGTGTCTATATTCACCACCCCAACGATTCAAGTGCTGCGCACATAGGGAGATGCGGAGCTGAAAATCTGAGCCCGCGGACTGTCTCCAAGCCACATCCACCACCTTTCCGCATCCCTCATCCAGGAGCCATGCTGACTCAAATCTGAAAGTCTTCGCGGACTGCCTTATTGGTTGCGGTTCCAAATTAAAAAAGATTGCATTGTGGTCCGACTCGAAGGTTAACAGATTATGAAATTCCGCATTTTCATGCAGCTCCAACCATCCCATCGATGCAACGGCTCTGTCTAACCTTTCCTCTACCCATCTGCTAGTTCCGCGGCCGCGCTCCCAAGTGAAACGAGAGCTCACCATGCCCAGATCGATCTGAGAGCAGTCGTTCAGCGCTTGATTAAAGCCGTCAATCAGAGATTCCGGTTGAAGATGGGGTCCGCGCTTCTCGGACTGGCAGGATATATCATTGAAGTCCCCAATAACCATCCAAGGAAGATTCGAACGATCCCGTAACTGCCTCAAAAGATCCCAAGTTTCATGCCACAAAGACTGATCCGAGTTCCCATAAAAGCACGTGAGATGCCATTGAGGTTTATCTGGCAGATACACCTCCACATCAATATGGTGCTCAGAAAGACTCAGTAGATTCGCCATGTCCGCATCATGCCACAACAACGCCAATCCCCCACCTCTATCTACACGATCCACACTCAACATCCCCTCAAAACCCAACTGCACTCTCAAACTCTCGATTTTGCTTGTAATAGACAAAGTTTCAATTAAATAAATAAAATTGGGTCTCACATGGGCTACCATGCCCATGTGCTTGCGAACTGTCCGGGTGCCACCCAGACCCCGACAGTTCCAGCTTAAAACGCTCATTGGGACGGGTAGGACTGAGATCCCAGCCTCGCCAAATTGAATGATCTTGCGCGCTCCTCCATTACGATATCCCTCCCCACATCCTCCCCCGCCACCTCCTCCCCCTCCCTGCGTCTTTTCAACTCGCCCTAAATCCCATTCCCCTCTTCCACCACTGCCAAGGCCACGGTCTGTGAGATATCCCCGGGCTCTACAACCATCTCTTAAGTTTTCGATGGTAGGAGCCACCGCGCACCAACCGGTTTAACCTGGCGTCTCGGGCCTGCCTTCATCCATGCACCGAACGGAAAATCTTCCGGCTCAATCCCTTCCTCGTAGACCTTCTTACAAAACTTCTCGGTGTGTCCCATAATCCCACAACAGAAGCAGAAGAATGTCAGTTTCTCATACATGAAGGTGATCCATTGGGACGTACCATCCCTTCTAATTAATTTCATCCTCCTCTTCAACGGCACGTTCACGTCCAGCATGACACGGATACGAACGAAGCTCCGCCATGATCCTCCAAATTGATTAGGATCCGTCGCCATGAAACTGCCCACGTGATTCCCTATCTTTGCGATGAATTCATGCGATGCGTATACTGCCGGCAACCCGTGGATCTGGACCCAGAATGGAATAGCATTCAGGTCTACCTCCTCTGGTGTCATCCCCGGTTTGATCTGCGCACAAACCAGCAAATTGTTCTTGTACAACCAAGGGCCGTCGTCAAGGACACGCTGCATGTCCTTTGGATGCGGGAAATGGAAGAGAAACAGATTCTCATCGAGAAGCTCGACATGCATTCCCATGACTGGTCTCTAGACTGCGGCCAATACCTGCTGCATGTGTTCGAATTTGATTGCCCGATCGGTGAGAAAATGCCCCACCAGCTCCCATTGAGATGTGTCTGCCGCGATGATCTGGGTGTCCGGCGCCTGTAGACCACCGTTTTCTTCATCGGCCAGAGAGAGATCAGCCCATCTATTCTCAATTTGGCTAATCGACGTACTCGCACCCGCCTCCATAGCATCGAAAACGCACCACCCAAGCCACAAACAGAAAATAAAATAAATTATGGATCGCACTACGCAGAGATCTCTGATCACTCGCTCAACATGTAAACCTCCATTCCACAACGCCATTTAAACAGAGCCCTAGATACACTAGGGAGAAACTCTCCTAGGCATGACTAGGAGAGAGATCCACGTTCAAAGAACACGATCGAAGACGATCACCGTCGGAGATCGTGATCGAGGAGAATGCGCAGAGCTTTTTTTAGAACATCCACAGTTTTTTAAATTGACATTCTAGGAATTAATACTCTTGTTCCTGCATTTGTATCGCACATGATATTGCCTTCCAACACGTGATCAACTAACCTAGTAACAATCAACCTTGTACCGTTGCATAATCCTAGTGTGTGATCAATATTTCTCAAGAGCATAACAGGTGACCCAACTTTCAATGTCAAAGCATGATTTGGTACTCCAGAACATCTTAGGCCATTCAAGAATTCGGGAGTGTGCAAATCTGCTAACATATCAACATTTGAATCTGACTTACAAACAGAATCACAACTCAAGTAAGTCTTACCCTCAGTCAGATTATGATCATTCATGTATTGGTTAATGCTATCTACCACATCCAATGTTGGAGCCAAAATAGCACTATCATTAAGAGATGACAGATTGCCAATCCCTAGTCTAAAATGAGGGAAGGTGCTATCAACAATTGTAGCAATAGGGTCATCCTCGCACTTAAGCAATAAATGTCCTGGAACTGTAATATCTGACTCACCATCACGTGGATTACCAACAGTTCCGTCACCTATATTAGCTATCCATTTTGCAAACTCCTCGATCTCTTTACCCTCGATTTGTGATTGTACACTTCTTAGGCGTAGATTCTTAGTTAGCCTAAATACTTTGCAGGATTTCCAAAGATATGAGGAACTAATGCTCGCCCGGACAATATCCTGTCTGGTACCCTTCAGAATTACTGGTAGAATCTGCCTGAAATCGCCACAAAAAACAACTGTTTAGCACCAAATGTCATTTCATAACTCCTTGGATTTTTGAAGCGCAACAAATCCCTCATAGTTCGGTCTAGGGCTTCAAAACAAAATTTGTGCATCATTGGAGCTTCATCCCATATTATCAACTTGCTTTGCGCAATAAGCTCTGCTAATGGACTGCCGTGACTTATGTTGCAAGTGGAATCTTCATTAACAGATGGGTATGGCAAACTGAGAATGTGCAAATCTTCAGCCTGGTAATTAAAGCGAAGCTATGCCGCTAGATGCAACATTTAACACCATTTCACTTTGAGACCTTAAAGCGGAGGACAATGCTCGCCACAAAAACGTCTTACCAGTCCCTCCATAACCATAAATGAAGAATAACCCGCCAGCTTGGCGATCAATATTGGTTAACACCTCATTGTATATGACCTTTTGCTCTTCGGTTAACTGCCTTACCAATTCCCGGTTCTCTTTCTCCTGATCCACACAGTCATATGATAATTCTTCTTGTATAAACCTGTTCGATATAACATTTAAGGCCGCAAAATTTGCCATAGGCATTTCAGGATAGTCCTTCACTACAAGAAAAATCACGAATCGAGACGGAAACTATTCCGTCGCAATATAGCGATGGAATAGTTCCCGTTGCAAATTAACGATGGAAGTCGCGACGGAAATTAATTCCGTCGCGATTTTTGGCGCAAGGAGAAAACTAAACCCCCGAAATCTTGGCGGAAAATTATTAACGATGGAATTTGCGACGGATGTAAGTTGCATCGTCTATGCGAAATGGCGATTGAAGTTGCGACGGCAATTTTTGCGTCGTGAAATAAAGATTTTTTTTTTTTTTATTTTTATTTTTTACATTGAGTAAAAATTGCGACAGAATTATTCAGTTACAATACTTTTTTTTTTAATATAGTATTTTAGGAGTAACCCTAAATGACTAAATCCTTAGTAAATCCTTGCCCTCTCTCCAGTCTCCCTTGAGCCTCTCGCATCTCTTTCTCACCTAATCACCTCTCGCCATGGCATGTCGCCGGTACTGCCTCCTCCACCGGTCGCCACTACGACACTGCCTCTTCCACCGGTCACCACTGCGGCATTGCCTCTTCCACCGGTCATGCATGCTCTAATCGGCAGTCGCGACTGCGGCACTTCCTCCTGCACCGGACCACTTCGGCTTCGCCGGTCATAACTCCAAGCTCACGGGTATGGTTTTAAATGTTTAATTGTTTATTTGTTTATGCTTTATAATTGTTTAATTGCTTATTTGTTTATGATTGCAGGCATTTGGAGCCTGCTATACATCTCACATTCTAGTTATCTATTTTTTAAGTGGCAGGTTATTTGATAGCTGGTTCTTGTTCATTGTAAACAAAAACCTTCTTTTAGGCAGAATCAAGGTGTCTCTAGATGAGGCTATGCAAATTTTTATGAGCTATGAGATGTTCTTGATATCTATAGTTAGGCATAATTAATTTATTATATTTGATGAATGTTAACTGACCTATAAATGTGTTTTGCAAACATTTTTACTCTCTAGACTCTAGATCTCATGCAATGTTTTCCTTCTCATATGCAAATAGCTTATTGATCAATTGATGAAAGTTCGAGTTGTTAATGAAGTCAATAAGGTTGCAACCTTTTTTCTTTCATTTTATTTCATTTCTTATGTTTCTATAGTTTCTTCTGATTCATTTGTTCACTTAAGTATCACACAGAAGCTTGGCAGTTTTGCATTGATATGTTTTTGGGGTTTCTTTTTTAGGTTTTTCATGGAGAAGCAGGTCATGGGGGAGTTTGGACGGATTTTAAAAATTAGTAGAACTGTTATTGTTTCACAACTGTTGCTGCAGACATTGAGTATTATGATCCAAAACTTAACAAGAGAACAGTCTATATGTGAGTTACTTTTTAATTTTTATTTTTAATGCATTATTGTTTTTCAACAGCTCATATTATTATTTAAAAATAATAATTATAAAAGAAATTTAAAAAATAATTAAAAATTGCGACGGAATCGCGACGGAAAAAACAATATGGCGACGGAATATTCGTTTCTAAAATGGCAACGAAATTGCGACGGAATAAGTTCCACCGCAAATTTGCGACGCCTTATTCCGTCACCAATTCCGTCGCCATATTTTACGACGGAATTATTCAGTCGCATACAAAAATACGATAAGCCAATACACGACGGAATATATTCCGTCGCAAAACGCTATTCGCGACGGAATTTTTCCATCGCGATTCACGATTTTTCTTGTAGTGTTCAAACTCTTACCATGAATATATAACAGCTTTTCAATCTCCACTAAAGCAAAGTTCATCTTGTGAGATTCGGTCAACACAAAATCTGCATAAGTTTATATAAAATATACTAATTAAGATGCCTACATTAAAGTTCACTTTATATTTTGTTAGCAATATAACAAAAATAATATGTAGAATGTATCTGTACCTCTATTTTGCAATTGTTTGCGGACCTGGAATTGTGCATCATCAGACAATTGTGGCCACACAGCATTCTAAACTGTTTCCGGTTTACCTATGCAACTGCTCATTAGCAATGTAACAAATAATCTCCTCAACTGATCTCCCGATGCCCAATGACTGGCTTCATCTATTGCATCAACATATTCGTTATCATCATCAACTAAACCTCTTGCATAACACGCATCTCGAAATGAGTCATAGTGGACACCGTTTACAGTCCTGATATCTGCATAACTTGTAGGGCCATGTATTTTATTCAACACACCTCAAATAAAAGATTTCTCCAGTAGCTGGCGGGACATAGAAGATCCTTCCGATTGAGAACCCTTTTTTCCGTGGCTGCCATTTTCTATGGTTTTTCTTCCAAACGAATCTTGTTGGCATCTCAACATAAGTAAGCTCTCTTGCATCTGGGAATGTCTTATTCACCTCAAATCATTCCAAGAACATGCTCTGTGCTATAGTGGGTCTATTAACAATGTTCTCAATAGGATCATCATCTGCAAAGACCACACTGTTGATTAGGAAGGTGAAAGCTTAACCTTTCCACTGAAGGAGCCCTAAGCTGTATATCAAAACCAAACAATCGCCAAACCACTTCACATGGGGATATGTACCTACAGTCATAGTACATATTAATCTCATCAATGACTTTTCCACTCTCTTTATCAATGCTTGTTTTGTAGAATGCGGCTGTTACCCGATCATGACCCTTGTTAACATACTTGAACAGGTACTTGATTGAGTGTGACTGGTTGCATCACTCGACATTTATATGAGCCTTGTACTTAAGTAATAAATGTCTATTGTGCGGTACCACATATCTGTTGTCCAACGCGATCCCGTTCTTTGTAACTATACTGCCGTTGTCTCTCCGTCTATATACCGGATAACCATTGTCATCAAATGTAGAACACTCAACAAATCTCTTAGGAAAATGTTTTGAGCATCGTGCATTTACTATACATGGAGAAATACTCCTTGCTTTTCCACATGGACCATGCATCATAAATTCCTCTATAGCTTCGTAATATTCTACATCTGTATTTTCATCTGGTATCTCAGCAGAAATGATTTTGTCTAGAGTAACCACTTGACTAACTTCTTTATTTTTCTCCAAAAAAGCAATATATGAACATGCGGAAGACCTCGCTTTTGGAACATAATTGTATATATAACTGCAACTTAATAGCAATAACTAGATAAAGGGAAGGTAATTTATGCTAATTGTAAAGACATTGATGTAAAACTAAACAAAAAGATTACCTCCCGCCACAGAGCCAAAACGTTTATTCTTTCGAAAATCAGCTGTAACACCCCGTGTTACGGCCTTCAATCCCAGATTAATTATTTAATTAATCCCGTTAATAATAATTAAATATGATTTAATTATGTTAGGTTTACCTTTAATTAATTAGTGAGGTCCACCATGAACCGTGGACCCTTGCCCGAATAGAAGTCTTAAGCCTATTAGGAATAAAGGAAGAAGGCCTTTTACTATTCAAATTATGATTAGGATTCTCTTTAATTAATATGGTCCACTATGGACCATGGACCCTTATCCCTAAAACAAGCCCTAGCCCTATAAGGAATAGAATTAGTAAACCCATACCATTCAGGCCCTAATTAGGAGTCTTAAATATATAAATAGGAAACTTAGGAGGCACCTAGAATCCCCACCACAATAATCTCTCACCACCCAAAGAGTCCCAAGAATTCCCCTAGGAGAAACCAAGAAAGCAAGAAAGCTTAAAGAAAGATCCTTCATAGCCAATGAATTAATTAAGGCTAAGAAGTAACCCATGTCTCAACAAAACCTATTTTTAAAGTTATGATTCCCCCTTAGGGTTTCCCCATATTATTGTGTATTAATGATTTGTGATGATTATTATTGATGATTGATATAATGATTCCATGAGGAATCTTGATAATCTTGATATTGGGAGATTCTTGATAATTATGGTGTTCTTGATGATTATATGGGGATCTTGATAATTATATGGAATTCTTGATGATTATGTGATATTCTTGATAGTTTTGTGTTGTTCTTGATGCTTATGTGTTATTCTTACCAGATCTTGTAATTAGAAAACAAATCGTATTCTTGTTGATATAAAAGTAATTAGAACCCTAGGTTGTATCGTATGATGTTATTCTTGGTTTATCAGGTGTGGAAATCGCATGTTTGGGTGTTGATTATGTTTAGAAAAGCATGATAGGTTATGTGTCGTTCGTTTCTCGTATTTGATCCGTTAATTGCGTTGTAAAGTGTCTAAGCATGGTTTCGGGTTCCACAATGGTTCCCGGGGCGTAATTGTGTGAAAAAAGTCAGTGGGGCGTAGGTGGGGGGTAGGGGACCCGCCACCTACCCACGGCCGATTTGGTGTCTCCGGCAGCGGGCAGCCGGCGGGCGGGCAGCTGCCCGCCGGCGACCCACTGCCCGGAATAGTAGTTTCCGACGGGCAGCCGGCGGGTGGCCCCCCACCCACCGGCTACCCGCTGGAAATTCATCCCAATCGGGATCCCGGCTTCCCCGTTTGATGTTCCCCCGATCCCCGTGGTGTCCCAACGGACTCCGTTTATCGTGCCTATGTCTAGTTTGACGTTTCGGGTACCGTTCGTAGGTTTATGAGTCTATTATATTGCATGCTAGTTGAATTCGTATCCTGTTTCCCTAGGTGGAAGAAGCATGAACCCTTTGGACTATTCTTAGTATGTGATGGATCACGCATAGGTTTGGTTATACGTTTTATCCCCCTTCCCAATGTGTAATATGGGTTGCATGTGCTTGCTATGTGTTATGTGTGTGTGTTACCCCAATTCGGTTCCGATTGGATTGGTTATCCTGAGCTGCGGTTTAGAAGCTGGCTGCGGTCAGATTGATACTCTGGGGCTGCGGTCCACCGTTTGGTTGCGATCAAACGTTCTTATATGAGTTGCGGTTCATACTTTCCTGGCTGCGGTCAGATGACATTCTCTTGGGCTGCGGTCCACTGTTTGGTTGAGATCAAACTATGATGAGCTGCGGTTCATCGGTCGGTTGCGATCGACCCATCCGTGTT